AAGAAAAGTTATACAATTGTTAATCATACTCAACTTCTTTATCTTCTCCTTTTATAATAATCTACTTGGTGACCCAAGACAAAATTAACTGTCAATCTGTGACAGAACACTAAGGCCAGTACTAAACACTAGTGGTGTCTCCCCGAGCTCACATTCTATTTGTCATACATTCCAGTGGCACTGAAAGCCATGGTGCGTATGTTTTAATGGGAGTGTACGTCAAAGGCCCCGATGGTGAAACGAGAGTGCTGAAAAACATGACCTCTCTATCAGAGCCAGGAAAAAAATATCCCGTGGTCGTTTCCTGTATAAGAGTCTTGCACCTGTGAGAGTGAGAGAGATCTGTAGCTCGCTCGAGAACAAAATTGAGAGAGAACGAAAGAGAGTGAGAGATGGTCTTCTTCTTCACTTTCTTTCCGGCGGCTTTCCTGATTTGCTTTGCTTTGATCCTTCGCCCTAGCTAGAACTTTGGCGTGGTGTGCGCAAGCTCGTGTTTCCAGTATAGGAAGGAAAAAAAATCTCTTATACAGTGGGCTTTAGTTCCTTCTCTTTTCGACTTGTGGTTCGTGGCCCCGTTTCCAGTACATGAAATCTCTTATAAGTTCCTTGGTTTCTCTGGTTCTCTTTCGTCTTGTTTTGGTCGATCATGCCTCGCGTCAATAATTCTGTTAGATCGTCCAGGGTAGCACCTGCACCTGCACCTGCCTCTGGCATTGCGGTGCCGCCGTACCCAATCGCCGCCGCCCGTTGGCCCATATCCATCACATCGAGTCGAATGAGTTGCTCGCTATGGAGGTACTTGCGAAGGGAGTCCGGATTGATCCGGATTCTAGTGAGCGCCCACGGCCCCGAATCAAGAACACACTATCAAGAACATGCGGCGTGGGTGTTCGGTGTGCAAGGGTAAACCTTCAGCTTCTCCAAGGTCGGAACCAGCTCGCCACCAAGCTCTGGTCTTTCCAGCAGATCCCGCACCCATGGATGAAGTTGACCATACAGTGCTAGCCGCCGACGTGCGCACGGAGATACACTAAAAAGACGTTGGAGTCTCGTTCTACAAGCGAATCCAGCGGTGGGAGATTCACCTTTGGTGAGTATGTTCTTCAAAAGAAGATTTTAGATTTGTCACGCTGATTTTCTCGTTTTCTTGGTGATCAGGGGAAACAAGCAAATGTATGTTGGTTCATGCAGCACTGAGCCAGGTTAATTTGTTTATCTTCTTCTTTTTCTATCTTTATAAGATGTTTAATGACAGTGACCGAGCTTACATCAAGTTCCGTGGCCAAAACTGCCAAAACTTGGACGAGATCCCCCACGTACGATCATATTAACATTTCCATCAAAGTGATCTAACACTTGGGTGTTTTCTGCAGTGGATCAATCTGTCTGACAAAGAATTCATCTTCATGCTACGTAACATGAATCGCGGTGAGTCATTGCTCTGATTTACACCCGAACTTCTTGGAGGTGACGCTGGCTCTCCATGCACGACGGAGACTCTGCCTCGAGCATCAATCTATCGCGGAGTCTACCGTCTCAAAAAGTCAGAAAGTCAAGAATTCTCTTGGGCACGTAAGTAACCCTTATCCCTCTAAACCTGACCATGTAACTACCTGGATGTGAGACACAACGTTGCCTGGATTTCACTTTTCAAAGCCAACGCAAGCTTTCGATTCTAACACTTTGTTTTTCATATTTGGTGTAGGCTGGACTCTCGTACATTTCGACTGGGTGAGTCTTTCATTATATGTTCCAAGAGCTGAAGTTTGATATTTCGTTTTTGTTTGATTGTTTTTGTTTTGCATTTCCAGGGTCATGTAAGACACAAGAGGAGGCAGCAAGGTTCAAGAAAAACTCAAACCTCACTCGCTAATTATTAAGAATCTAAAACACAAGAGCTATGACTGAGCGGTCATTAAATTCTTTGGGAAGGCTAAAGCACTCAACTTCGCATATGAAGACTACATGGATGAGATGCCTTAGGTGATTTTTTTTGCATGTCCTGATTGAGAAACTAAAACGATATTACAGTGGATCACTTTGAGCAAGGAAGATTTTATTTCCTACATACTGCACACTTGAGCAAGAAAAGGAAGGTAAAGGTACATACAGCTCAAAGAGCTGTATACCATAGGAAGGTGAAAGAGAGAAGGATTAATGATTGTGTGGTAAACGAAGCAATGCCACACTACATAGATGAGAAGAGGATCGGTGATTCTGTGGTGAATGAAGGTTGGGCTTAAGGAAGTACCAAGCATATTAGAGGAATGAACGCTGTAGGAGTTTAATTTGGAGAAAGACACTTTGGAAAGACACGTAGACTGCCAAACTCTCATATGTCATTGTCCATGAATAAATCCTAGCATGAGAAGTCTACAAGAAGCGGCTATGTCACAAAGAGAGGGATGCTTGACGCCCAAGAATACATCCGCGTAGACTTCAACACTTGCAGCATTTTGCAGCGACGATGTTAAACCATTGAACTTGTGGCTTGGAAATCTGCGTAGTACTCAACGTGTCTCTCGAGATGTGGTTGATGATATGATCTGACTCTCTCTTTTTTCTTTCTACCAGGTGTATACGCTGCTTGTTCCACGTGGGAACTCCCGGTAGCATGTTAACTATCCTCTTCTCACGCAAAGATTCCAAACTAAATTTACGACTTTTTCCAGAGTTCTTCAGGTAAAGGTGTTCCCATTTTCCTGGACCAGCTTTTTGATGGTTACAGGAAATGGTGTTTGAAAGTGGTTCTCCAGCCCGAGCCAAGCAGAAAGAATCGTCTAATGAGAGTTCCAGAAAAAAAACGGCTTGGCTGCCATAAGAGAGCCTTGTACAGGAGGAACTCCTTTTTGACGAACCGATCTTTGTATCTGTGCTTACACTTTCAGTTCAGACGCTGGCTACTCTGAATTTTCAGATTTGTCCCAAAACCAGCAGTATGGACGCGGGATCTCGTCACCATCATAACTTTCGTTAAGTCTGGTCGTTTTTGAAGCCAGCGACAAGATCACGGAGCTCGCGTTTCCTCCCTTCCAATCGAATCACACCCCGGGGGTCTTCACCATATCGCTCAGTCGCACTTTCTATGACATGAATAAATCCCAAGTTTGCGACTTTGGTCTCCATGAATCCCAGACTTCGATCTTGTGTTCTTCCCTCACACCAGAACTAATGCTGCAATGGCTGGGAGTTAGCTCTAGGATGCGATGAGCGGCTCGTTTTCCAACGTGCAGATTGTTGGATTCGAGCACACCGTCCTCCACAACGCCAATTCCGGCTGGAACGGCATACATCCTCGGCCTCCTCAAGCGGCTGAGCATATCTGAGATCACTATATTTTGCTCGAAAGTTGGCCGCTTGCCAACGTGGTGCTGGCTGTACTCATGCCCAAATTTGAGAATCAGCCAATTAATGTGCATTCTTACATGAAAGAACCCAGTGGAATCATTTGCCTTGCACTTGCCCAAATCCACTGGAGAGGAAAAATGTTTGGGTCCAGTGTACAAAGAATGATGTCACTTTTGCTGTATTGGCTCTAGTTTTACCTTTCCTATTAGATATGACCCCAAGGATCAGATTTATGCCCATATGCTCCATTTAAGTTCAAGAATATCTCCATAATCGTATAGCCTTTTTGCCTAGAATGGGCTTAAAAGGATGACTAAGTTAAGTTTAGTCAATTGGTGGAGCAGTGGCGCAGAGGGCTTGAGGGTGGCTGGGTGGTGATCTGCTTTGTATCAATGTGGTAATTCTTCCTTAAGTTCTAATATTAGAGGATTGAGTTTGAGAATTTGCGAGTTTGTTGCTATGGATTCTACAGGGCAAGCTGCTAATCAATCATTTACGGAGGCTTGGACAATAGATAAGGTAGTACTAGAATTCTTCAACAACAATATCAAGGTTGACATGCCTTTGGCAGACATGTATAGATGCATTAAGAAGATGGGAGAATTCTTGAGATGGCTAGAGTTGTATCACAAATCAAGCTTAGATTCCTGAGTATATGGCACTGATGTCCCTGTAAATGAGGCATTCAGCTAGCTACAGAAGACTTTTGTAATTGATCTAGGTTCAAAAATTGTTAGAAGAGGATATTGATCCTTGTGGAGGTGGTGCTTAGTGGACTTGCCTTTTGAACTAACACACCACTGTTGGCAAGGGACTTTTAGCGTCATAAAATGAATTTGAGTTTAAGTAGGAATTTGCTATGATGCTTCTCATGCATAATGTAATCTTCACTACTTGAAGCAAGACAATTTAAGCCTGGAAAAGTATATTGAGAAGTTTGGGATGTTGTTGAGTAATGTGCCCAATGATTATACTAAGGGTTTGAGAAGTTTGGAATGTTATTGAATCATGTACCCAATAATTATACTGAGGAGCTCAGAAAGATCACTTTGTGGACAGCTTGCACAACAATGGGATGTGAGATCATTTGAAAACTTAACAAAGTCTTTAGAATGTTTTTTGAACAAACTTAGAACATAGTGGATAAGGGTGATACACATCCTTAGGACAAGGGTGCCAAACATGGGAGGAGCCCCTCCTGAGACGAGACTAGTGGCGGCAGTGAAAGGTAAATTCATTTGAAGTCTTGTGTGGAAAGTGGTGGTGGCAATAGTGGTCAAGGCAATGGAAAGAAGCCTTGGATTACCAAGCAAATGTATAACTATTGGAGTTTGCCTCAATTTGGTGCCGCTCTTGCACAAGAGTAGTGAGCACGAAATAGATGATTGACCATCCAGCAGCCAACAACACATGGATGGACGACCACACCCACACGGCACAAGTGTGGTGAGGAAGGTCATTGGAAGGTAGATTGTCCTAGAATAAACCTTCAATTCTAACATTGTGGTTTTCATCTTTGGTGCAGGCTGGACTCTCGTACAGTTTGACTGGGTGAGTCGTTCATTATTTATTCCAAGAGCTGAACTTTGATATTTCATTTTTGTTTGTTTTGTTTTTGTTTTGCATTTCATTTGGGGTGATATATGACAGAAGACATTATTTCGACAGGAGCTATGATCCAGTGGTGATCAGATTCTTCAGCAATGCTAAAGCACTCGACTTTGCATATGAAGACTACACCGATGAGATACCACAGGTTCTTTTGTTTGCATGTCCTGATCGAGAAACTAAGACGATTTTACAGTGGACCACTTTGAGCAAGGAAGAGTTTATTTCGTAGATACAGAATTCTGCACAGTCGAGCAAGAAAAGGAAGTTCGAGGTACATACAGCTCTAAAAGCTGTATACGATAGGAAGGTGAAGAAGTGGAGGATTACTGATTGTGTGGTAAACGAAGCAATGCCACACTATATTGGTGAAGAGGATATAGTGAACGCTGTGCAATGGACGAGTTGAATTTGGACACACTAGCTCCCATTTTCCTGGACCAGCTTTTCGATGGCTTACAGGAAATGGTGCTTGCAAGAGCCCGAGCCAAGCCAATAAGGAAGAAAGAGTTCCACCAAAAAAATTAAAATAGAGGGCATTCTCTGTGTGAATGAAGCGATCTTTCATCCGAGCTATGCATTTCTCGGCATCATCCTCGAACCATGTTTTTGATCTGGAGAGAGCAGTGGAGCGAATCTCGAGCCAAGAGAGCTGCCCAATTGTGTCCGACTACGCCCCTCTCCTCCGCCAGTGCTCCAAGCAAAGATCCCTCCACTCGGGAAGGCGGCTCCACGCGCAAATCCTCCGCCACCGCCTCGATCGCCACACTCTCCTCTGCAATCTTCTCGTCCAGATGTATGGCAGATGCGGCTGTCTCGACGAGGCCAGATCCATCTTCGACAAGACCCCGGAGAGGAACCTCTTCTCGTGGAGCATCATGATCGCAGCATATGCCCAGAACGGGCATCCCACTTTTGCGCTTGCGGTGTACCGGGAGATGCTCCAGCGATCCATCCACGCAATAGACAGCACTACGTACGTGAGCGCGCTCAGCGCTTGCTCGGCGCTGGGCGATCTAGAAACGGGTAAATCCATCCACGAACGAATCCTCTCCAGCAAACTCGAGATTGACGCTTTTCTGGGCACAGCACTGATCAGCATGTACTCCAAGTGTGGATGCCTGGAGGAAGCTCACGAGTGCTTTGATTGCGTTCTTCGCAAGGATATCGTAGTGTGGAACGCAATTATTGCGGCATTTGCCCAGAACGGGCATCCGCAGCGCGCGCTAAACTTCTTCCATGCGATCCCGCGGGGTGAGCTCCAGCCCAACAATCTCACGCTGGTAAGCGCACTGGATGCGTGCTCGGATCTGGCAGCGCTGGAGGAGGGCAGGAAGATCCACGCGCTGATCGAATCGTCGCCAGAGCTGACGCTGGGTGGGAGCATGGGGAATGCGCTCGTCAATCTCTACGGCAAATGCGGGAGGGTGATCGATGCGAGGGCCGTGTTTGATGCTCTCCGCCCGAGAACTGTGGTGTCGTGGACATCCATGATCGCGGCCTACGCGCAAAATGGGCACAGCGATCAAGCGCTGGAGCTGTTTCAGCGGATGGACATGGCGCCCAATGGCGTGACGCTCTTGAGCGTGCTCCAGGCCTGCGTGGGAAGGCTCGATCGGCTGCGCGAGATCCATGCCACGGCGGAGTCGCGAGGATTGGCCAGGGATCTCTCGGTGGCAAACACGCTCATTGATGTCTACGGCAAGTGCGAGGACGTGGATGGAGCGAGGGCGGTGTTTGATTCCATCCCGATCAAGAACGTTGTCTCCTGGAACGCGATGATCGCAGCCTACGCGCACAATTGGCGTACCAATCCCGCAGTAGAGCTGTTCCATCGCATGGATTTGGAAGGGGCAATGCCCAACGCGATCACCTTCGTCACTGTTCTAGGCGCATGCCCTCCTTCTTCCATATGGAATCAGAATCAGAATATCCCAGAGAATCAGAATCTGGATCTGAATATTCAAGGAAATCAGAATATGCGGAAGATTCGTGGGTTTTCCCTCGCGCTGGGCGCCCAGATCCACGAGAGGATCGTCGCGTCCGGGCTCCAATCCGATGTGATCGTCGCGACCGCGGTGCTGACCATGTATGGGCGATGCCAGCGGCTGGATGTGGCGGAGCGCGTCTTCCTGGAGATGGGCGGCGCCAAGAACGCCGTGTCGTGGAACGCGCTCATCAACGCCTGCGTCGAGAATGGCGAGTGCGATGCGGCCTTGCGGCTGTTTTTCAGGATGATGAGCGAGCCCTCCGTCCAGCCCAATGGCCTCACTTTCGTGGCGGCGCTCGAGGCGTCTTCGGCGCTGGGCGATCTGGCCACCGGCAAAGCTATCCACGAGAGAATCGTCGATCTGGCGATGGACGCCGAGACCGTGGTGACCAACGCACTGATAACGATGTATGGAAGATGCGGCAGCCTGAGCGATGCTAGAAAGGTTCTCGAGTCAAGCTCGTCGAGAGATGTAGTGTCGTGGAATGCGATGATCGCAGCATATGCCCGGAATGGGCATCACAAGGAGGTACTAGATCTATACTGGGCAATGCTGCTCGAAGGATACAGGCCCGTGGAGGCCACTTTTCTTCCACTCCTCGACGCCTGCTGCTGCCTCCGAGATGTCGAGTCCGAGCACCGCAAAGGCTCTCACGCAGGGAAAACGATCCACGCACACATACGGCTCGCTGGCTTCGATGGCTCCCCGCTGCTCGACTCGGCGCTCGTCAACATGTATGGCAAGGTCGGAAACCTCGACTCCGCCATGGTGGTGTTTACGCAAATGCGGGAGCGAGACGCCATCACTTGGACTGCTATGATCTCATCGTACGCCCAGCACGGGCATAGCAGGCAAGCACTCTCACTTTTTAGTTCCATGCTGCTCGACGGCATTGCCACCGATGCTGTGACGCTCGCCTGTGTAAGTTCGGCGTGCAGCCACTCGGGAGACGTGAAGCTCGGGTGGGACTACTTCGTGTCGAGTGTGCGCGACTTTGGCGAGCGGCCAACTTTCGAGCACTATGTGGTGATGTCGGATATGCTCAGCCGAGCTGGGAGGCTCCAGGAGGCCGAAGATTTGCTGAGAAGTATGCCGTTCCAGCCGGACTTGGTGTCGTGGAGGACGCTGCTCAGTGCGTGCTCGAATCACAACAATCCTCACGTTGGAAAACGAGCCGCCGATCGTATCCTAGAGCTGAGTCCCAGCGATCCTGCAGCATTGGTTTTGCTGTCCAACATATACTCGGCCGCAGGGATGAGTGATGAGGCCGAGAAGTTGAGGCGAGAACACAAGATCGGGGTTTGGAATTCGATTTGTCAATGTCATTAAAAGCGCGTTTGCGGAGCAGGGAATGAAGACTCCCCCGCGATCGTAAGGAGTAAACACGAGCTTCGTGATCTTGTCGCTTGGCTTCGAAAACAGATCGAGAATAATGGTGATGAGATCTCGCGTCCCAGGAGATCGATCATTATCCATACTGCTGGTTTGTGAGGACAAATTCGAAATCCAGAGTAGCCAGCGGTCTACACTTGAAGTGTTCAGCACAGAAACAATTCGTCAGGAGGGAGTTGGAGCTTCTTGGAGCAAGCATCGAATGAACCGATGCCCATTTCGCTGTGTCATCCTTAGACGTTTTCATATGCCCACACATTGTGCCAACTGTGACTATCCCGTTTGCATGCATACAGACTTTCAAATGTGGCATTGGTAAATTAGCTCCATTCAACCAACTTAAAGTAGGTGGTAGATTCCAATTGTAGATTGTATTCATTCTAATTACTAGACTTTAAAAATTAGCTTAGCAATTTATGGAAAAAAAATCTATTTTGGAGTTATCTAATCTAGATTGAGGATTTCCTTTTTAAGGGTTTGGTCATTCATCCTTATATATTCTAAAAAGAAAATATATTTTTGAATCTTATGAAATATATAAATATATATTGTGAGTTAAATATGGAAATGGAATACAAAAATATGCCCAAAAACCCTAATTTATATATAGAAAGGAATAATTCAGATTAAAATCAATCTAAGACTATATGGCATTATAACTATACATTTAGACCTCACATCATCAGAATGATGGAAAACAATTAGGATTCTTTGGTAAATGGGCTGGGATCTAGAGGAACATTAAGAAGAGACATCAATGGATTTGTAAATGGTATCAATTGTTCTTTATCCCAAATGTTTTAACTGTTGCACATGTGTAAATTCTAGAGGATTAACTTATTGAATGTCATGCCAAACTTTATAAATTGCAGTCCAACTTGCTATAACACTTGATATGGTCTCTTCCACTAAACAAAAAACCTTTAGACAAACCATATATTGTAAGATTGGGAAAATAAATTAACATTAAATCATCCATTTTGTATTCTACAAATGGATGATGATGAGAGTTATAGTGATGTTGTTGTCCCATTTGTATGCAACCCAAGTGTTTAATAGACTCCATTAGGAAAAGTAGAAGAATATTTGTCAAATACAAATTTTAGGACTTAATATCGTTAGCTCATAGCAATCACAAAGATAAACTTAGCTCAGTATTTGATCATGACTATATAGGAGTTTATATAGTGAAGCATTAACATAACTCTATACCCTTGTGATATACATATATTGAAGAGATAACAAATAACTATCCCAATCTAAATGTTAAAGGTTCACATACTTTGTTATCATCTCTTTGAAAGTTCGGTTAAAACATGAAATGTCCCAGCCATAAATGTAGAATCATTATTTAAGAGAATCCACTTAAACAAGAATGTTAGAACACCATTTGATTGAGAAGGAAATATCGAACAATACTAGTAAAAGCATTAACTTCCACCTAGTGAGTCAAGTAATCAGAAACAATAATGACATATTCATTATCAGCAGTCAACCATGAAAAATGCCCCATAAGATCACCAACTCAAACGGATGGAAAATTACAATTAACTTTAACTGTTCTTCCCCAACATAAGGGGGAGTATTACAAACTTGGCACCAAATGCAGTTATTCATATACCAAATAAAATCATATTACATCTCCGGTTAATAAAAAGATCTACATAATTTCTTAATCACATGACAATATTTTATATGCCCACATAGAATAGAAGAATCATGATAGGCATAGAGAAAGTGTTGAATAAAGTTTGAAGGCACCCCCAACCATAAATGATCATTAGGATCAATCCCTATAAAATAAAGAAGGTTATCTTCAAGGCGATATGAAAAATATAAATGCCGAAATGGCAAGTCATCAATAAATGATACAGGATTCTCCAATCCATCATAAAACTTTTGGATCCACAACTTAACTTTTTGAGCTTCATGAACTTTTTCAAGAAAAGGTAAATTTTGCTCCACACCTTGTGGACACTAAATATCAAGTATAACAACCATTGACGACACAAAACCCTTGTTCAAACAGTCCATTAATGATAAAACAATAAGTTCATTAGGAATAAGAGAAGAGAGCGAAGAAGGGAGATGAGTTCAAGAAAAGGCATTAATATTAACCATAAAACTCTTGGGTAATGAACAACTCCAAAATTATATATTTAAAATTTTAGAGCTCACTTTATTTAAACCAAATAGCATCACTAAAAACTCATACAAAGTAAATAGTGTACTAAAAGTAATTTTAGAAACATCTTTTCTTGCCATTAGCATTTGCCAATATCTAAAAATAAAATCTAACTTAATAAACTAATGATTTCTCCCCAAATGATTTAGGAGATCAACAATATGAAGAAGAGGGTATATATTTAAGATAGTCACCTTGTTTAATGAATAATAGTTAATATAGAAGTGAATGCTTCAATTAGGCTTTGTTATAAGATGAGGTTCACACATCTAAGGACTCCATGGATAACACCCTTTCTTAACATTTTTTTGACGTTTGTGTGTAAAATCTTGATCTTCTTTGATGACTAAGACAAAACAAAAGTTTTGATTGGAGAAGTATCCCTAGTTGGGATAAAATGACATGTTGCAATCTTAGCCTCAAATAACATGTCAAAGTTGAAGAGATTAACATACTCTTTCTTGAGTTGATCCATCGCTGCGATATAAAGACCATTGGAAAGATCTAGAGAGGGAATAAAAGAGCAAGATGGAAACACAGTAAGAATAATAAAGAGAAAAAAGTGATGGAAGTAAAGGTAGAAGTAGAGGAACAAAAAGGAATAGAAGTGAGAGGAATGTATAAAAAACTAAAGAGAATAACTCAAAAGACAATTTATAAAAGTTCAAATATAAAAGGAAAAAGCCTATGAATAAGAGTGCACCCCCTTTTCCAGTTGATTAAAAGTCTTGGGATATTTAGGGTTAAGTGTCCATAGGTTTAAATAATATTAGGTTGGATGACCTCTCGTGAAGTCCAAATCCAAAAACTTACATTTGGTATTATAGTGGTTTCGGGTCCAATTTTGTCGGTTGGCTTAAGGAAATCATACCATATATTGATTGATATCTGGCAAGTTTAGTTTGCTTCAGTTGGGCTCGACCCAAGGGGTAGGGTGTTGAGAGCAGGGTCTCAGAAGAGTTGTGGCTCTTAGTTTTCATTCACGAAAGTATGAACTTGCAGGGAAGCGTGATAGATTATAAGCAACTAAAGGGAATAACTCAAGAGATGATCTATATGGGTTTAAATATAGAAGAAAAGGGCCTATGAATAAAAGTGCATTCTTTTTTTCAATCGGTTAAAGATCTTAGGATACATAGGGTTAAACGTCCCTGGGTTTGAATAATACTGGATTGGGTGATCTTTCGAGATGTCTAAATCTAAGAACTTAATAAATATGAGGAAGTATGAGACAAGAGGGAGAGAGACAAGATCTCTTATTATTCTCTCTATATTAGTTAATATAAGCTTGAATTTATCTTCTATTGCTCAACTTGTTGCCACACATTGCCATCTATAGTTGCGTTACACAATAAAGGCAATTTTCATTCTTAATAGCAACAATTATACATATGTATGTACACAAAATGAGGCAAACTTAGCTATGCATATGGGAGATCTCAAGTTTGAATTTCAATTGTTTCGGGTGGTGCTAAGTCAAGCTTTTGACCTCATCCTTAGTATGGATTGGTTGTAGTGCAATTATGCCAACTGTGATTTTGAAATAAAAATGAGCTCAAAAAGTAAACACTGAATGAATTGTACAAACAACTAATTTTTCCATTTTACTTTAACCACTTAACCACACCTTTGACCATTTGAAGGCCCTTCGTCCTTGAGTGGTCATCTTTTAACCACACCTTAGCACCCTTTGACCATTTGAAGAAGTCTCATTCACAACCTTCATAAATCTTATTCCTGATTTGGGGACATAATATTCCCATAAATGACATCTATGCCACTTAACCTTTGCACTTAGTCCAAATGCTCCATATGTCAAATCTCATGATTGACATTTAAAAGTACCACTAATATATCAACCCATTATGTTAAGGCCATGCCCATTCACCCTTATTATATCGGTAATCCAAGATCATCTATATCACAGTCCCGTCTCTCAAAGACTAGGCCCTCTGTCCCTGAGTGGTCATCTTTTAACCACACCTTAGCACCCTTAAGATGCCTAGAGATATAGAGAACATCCTTCCCCAATGTCCCTTCTTTAGTCCCCACCAACTCCTTGTAAGCAATTAAATTTTTCTATTTTACTTTAGCTTCTTAACCACGCCTTTGACTACTTAGAGGAGTCTTACTTATGAACTCCATAAGTCTTATTCCTGACTTGGGGGTATACTAGCCCGATAAATGGCATCTATGCCATTCAGCCTTTGCACTTGGTCTAAGTGCTCCATATGTCTAATCTCATAACTAACACCCAAAAGTACCACCAACATATCAGGCCTACCCTAAAGTTATGTCCATTTATCCTTGTCACATCAGTAATCCAAGACTACCTACATCACAGTCCCGTCTCTTAAAGACTGAGCTATCTGTTCATGAGTGGTCATCCCTAACCACACCTTAGCACCTTTAGGATGCCCAAAAATATAGAGAATACCCTTCCCCAATATCCTTTCTTCCATTCCCCCCAAGTCCCTTTCCTTCCACAGATGTGCTTGTCAACACTACCATTAGATCAAGGCCCAAATGCCCAACCACTAAGTCCTATTAACCTTTGGGACTTCCAATTGTATCCTTGGTCACTACACCAAAGGACTACTCCTTTTCCTTTCTATAGTTTGGGACTTTGGGATGATATTTTAAAACACCATGGCCCTATACAAACTTCATAGGTACTCTCCCCACCTTTTGCCCTTAGGTGCCTTAGCCATATGGCTAGAGTGAGGTTCTAATGAGCCATGCCAAGTATCAAAGTAGGTAGTGCTACCTATATTTGGATTGAGAGCAATGACCATTAGATCTCTCGAGGGAGTTAAAGTTGGCTCTTGAACACTTCATCAAACTACCTCGCTTGTCTGTCTGTATTTACTTTAGCTTTGAACTCTTCAATAGTTATATCATCACTCAATACATAGGTATAGCATTCCTTGGTCACATTGGCTTTTCCTACCCAAATTGGCTCCATTAGAGTCCTCCCCTTATTATACTTTTGGAGCTCACAAAACCCCCTAGGGTCTAGAAGACAATCGTTTTGGGCTTTCACCCTCGGACTCAAACTTGGACTCGAACTTGGACTTGAACTTGAACTTAGACTCAGTCTCGGTCTTGGACTCAGTCTTAGTCTTGGTCTCGGTCTCAATTTCGGTCTCAATCTTGGAGTCGATCTCAAACTCTATCTCAGGTCCATTTCGGACTCTATCTCAAGTCCATCTTAGACTCCATCTCGGGTCTATCTCGGGTCCATATTAGACTCCATCT